CAACATCAAAACGAAAGGTTTCACGTCACGGAAATCGTTTTGCCGCTCGGGTTCGCAGACGCTAGTTTTCTAGGGAGAGAAGTGACGACCGGAAATGCGTCTGCTGTTCGCAGGCTATCGATTCAGTCGATTGCTGAAGTTCTTCAGAAAGATAATTTTGTTATCTTATCCCGTTAAAACGGTGATAGTGGTAGATCGGAAGGACTTTTTGGATGAAAGTTCACTTTTAGGAAATATTATGTGTTATGTTTTCTCTCCCCACCAACACTACATTGAAACTCCTTACAAAATGAACCAAACTTTCAAATGAATATCTAAAAATAAAAAATAAATGACCTGATAGTGGACACTGTCAGGTCAGATGATGTAAAAGTACTCGAATCGAGCTGAAACGTCATATAAAAAAAGACGACGATACCTGGTAACAATATTTACACTTTAATGATAAATGTTACCGCTTTTAGTTAATTTATTTCATTTCTAAGTTTCATTTCCAATACAAACTCTTTATTTCCCATACAAACTCTTATATTACGCTTGGGTCATCTAAGCACAATCAACATTTTATGCTACTACCACATTTCTTTGCTTTCTTCTTCCTTCTCCTCCACCATCAGCTCTATAATTATATTAATTTTCATTTCTGGCCCCTTCTCCAGCAACACTACAGTTAATTTCTATTGGAAACAAGTTTGGCGAGATCCCATCGCAAAACAGGTTTAATTCATACCTTCTATACCGCTGTCTGTCAAGTACTTTAACACAAGGCCCACATTTTGAGATATGTCCAGGTTTGCACGCAGTTGCAAAAATTGTGAAAAATTGGAGAAATCGCCGTTTTTGCTAAAATTACTAAATTCAAGTGTTCAAGGAGTTAAAAGGGTACCCTGCAAAAATTGCGATTTCCTTGAATTCTGCGATTTCTCCAAAAATTAAGGAAAATTGGAAAAATCGCAGTTTTTGCTAAAATAACTAAATGTAAGTATTTAAGGAGGTAAATCGTCAGACGCGATTTTTCGCAATTTTCGCAAATTTTGTTAAATCAACCACTGGCTCTGGACTTAAGTGATTATTAACATGACAAAGAACCGCGAAAAATCGCAACTACCGGGAAAAATCATTAGGCTTGCGATTTTTCGCAATTTTTGCAAATTTTGTTCAATCGACAACTGGCTCTGGACTTAAGTAATTAATTAACATGACAAAGAGAGTTGCGAAAAGTCGCAACTAACGCAAAAAAAATTGGAATTTTTGCTACTGCGCAAACCTGGACGCAAGTGTACATTTTGGTCTTTGGTAGAAAATTCGTTTCTTTGCTAACACTGTGCATTACTCTTAATTTTCTTGTCCTTTTTTGAAAGGAGGAATTTAACTAGTCAATCTTGCATTTTGGTGTTTATTCCTCTTTAAAGGTGAATAGAGCATTCCTAGGTGACAAGAGGTTTGAAAGCTCGGATGTAATAGAATTTAGGTAAGGGATGAGTTGAGACTTCATGTTAGCCTGCGAGCAAGCTTTCTGCGGCGAGCTGACGGTGGGGCGGAAAAAGGAAGGAGAGCTTGCAACTACGTCTCTGGAATTTGAATACCATCTCCAAAACCCCTGTGGCTCCCCGTCGACTGAGCTGTCAGATCTCCGCCAATCAGCGCGAAGCAAAAACGAGCGAACAAACATTGAGAAACACGAGCCAAGGGTAATGACGTCATATCCGCCAATCAGCATTTCGAATCGATTCTTTTCGATGCAGATATTCAAATTCCAGAGACAAAGTTGCAAGCTCTTTTTTCTTTTCCCGCCCCGCAGAGCTTGCTCATGTAGCCGTTGAAACCTTAAGTAGATGATGAAACCAAGGATTTCCTCTTCCTGCGTACGTACAACAAAGTCGTTTGTTGTTGTTTTTGTTGTTGTTGCAGCCGCGGAGGTCTACAAGTTTTAGTAGAATTGACTTTCAAAGAAGCTGTCAGCACAGAATATGCCATCGCAGCATTGAAAAAAGCGGCAGAAAGTAAAACTCTTGCAACCTTTCAAATAAAAAGTTCGTCTATAATAGCAACAAGGGAGAATAACTTCATAAAAACCACAAAAACTACCGCTGGAACGGGTTCAATGTCAACAGGTATATAAACATTTTATCTTAAGTACCAACATTGTAGAACAGTGTAACAATGAAATTGTTCTTTAAATTACTTTTTCTTATCAATTTTAAGCTAAAATTTAAAAGTAGCTTAAGCCAAATTAGTTTTCACAATACCAAATATTGGGCTCGAGATAAGTGAAGCAGGCGTCTCACTCAGAAAAAGGAGAGGGTTTAAACTAAAACACCGTGCTCGTACACTCAATCAAGCAATCAGAATACAAATTAGTAGTTTCTCTTTATTACATGCCTTCTTAAGAACAGCACCCTTTCAGAATTCACGACAGCCTTGTTTATTAAAATGGCGATCATTCACGATTTAAGAGTAAAGAAACCATGTAAATTCTTGCAGTTGAGGTCTGCAGTGGCTGCGAATGTAACAGCACCATATTAAAAGCCTCGATCGGTGTTCTTGCTGTGGTTATCATCGTCCTCATTTTGTACATCATTTGGCTGCACACCAAAGGTAAGCAACGTTTGTAGTTACGTGTCCTCAATTGTCCCTCAGGAGCATCACCAGGATTTTTCCAGAACTAAGTAGAGTTTATTAAATCGTTTCCACGTAGTTTCAGTATAACGTTTAGGCGATCATCTTTCCTGTTGTATGACACGTTTTGCACGTAGCAAATACGATTTTCGTGCTTTTTTGTTGAATACTTCTTTGTGGTGTCATTCTCTTTCCCCTTTTTAATTGATCTTGGAATTTTTTAACTTGTCCAGGAACGTACGTGTGTATTGGCGTACAGGTAGCTCTTTGTGCGCATATTAACATCGATGTAACACCGATTTGAAGTTTTACTTTTTTTCAGGAATTCGAATGACAAGGTCATATAAGGAGGCTATAGCTAAAAAAGGGAGCAACGATGTATGTTATAAGCTTTCTATTCTATTTTTGCGTACATGTTTCGTATTCGTGTCTTTTATGTTACTTTGTAGTCTAATTCCTGCAATTCCAATACAATAAGCCAAGAAAATTGGAGTGATTACTTTCTAAGAGTTTCTTTGTTTTCTTTCATAATGGAATGGAAATGTTAGATTACAACTCAGGTCACAATGCTTCCGAAGAAAAGAAATCTCAGGCTCCTTCTTCAGTGGAATATGTTAAAACGCCGCTGGATTTAAATACAGAAAGCCGATCAAAGACTTAGCAGAAAACCAGACGACAAGCACAATAAGCCAGTATGTAACTTGGTGTCCATCAACGTTTTCATTTGAGATTCCTCGCGAAAATGTGGTGATTGAGAAGATAATTGTCAAAAGCGCTTTAGGCCAGGTTGCCGAAGGAACAGTCATAGGTTTACGTGGAAGAACCCAGGCGACACTTGTGGCCGTGAAAATGTTAAAAGGTGTGATTTATTGGTTGTGACTAGAATGGATACCTTAAAATCAGGTTGGACACCTTATGTTTATTACACAACGCTTTACTCTATCCCACGCTATACTATATTTATTCGAATTTATTGGGGACATTTTTTAGAAAGGTGGGAAAATCAGAGTAGGAGACTCATGTGCAAGGAAAATGGTTGAATACAGCGTTTAGCACCGAAGTACATTGATTAGGGCTCAGTACTGTTTTAAAAACGGTTAGCTTTCAATGATGTTTTGATCAATGCCATGTAAAGTACGTTAAAATTAACCGGTGTCTGCAGTTAGGCCTTGATGGTGTAGTGGATACGGATGTGGAATATATACACTCGGGTTCAAGTCCTAAATACTACGTACTGTTTTCTTTCTTCTCTTATTTACTTCCTTAAATTATAAGAATTCTACCAAGTATTTTGATTGAAGATGACAATCTGACTTTAGGGTTTCCTTTCCAGTCACAGCCGTGATGTATTTTCTTGTAATCTTCACAAATTGTTATGTACATACGTTATGTGCGGAGCGTCCGCTCGCGCAAAGCGTGCGAAGCGGAACCTCCATTGCTATAGCAATTGGAAACCCATCTATGTGATATAAATATATACAAGAAAATTTGTTAATGACGTCACTCCGCCCACCCGCCCGCCGGTACAGACTATGTAAGTTAGGGAAGGGGAGACTCTAGTAAGAAGGGAAGGGGAGGCCTTGCGTTTGCATTGGCGTGTAGAATTGACCAGTTTAAAGTCAACAAGTAGATCTACCCAAGTAAATTAAACGGGTACGATTTACAACAGATTTCTTATTACCTCAAAATCCGCCTGTCTTTCAGCGAACGCGCCCGAGTCGGACAGGAAAGACTTGTTATCAGAGCTTGAAGTGATGAAGACATTGAACCCTCATCCAAACGTCATCAAACTTCTGGGGTGCATAACTGAATCTGGTAAATTACCCAAAATATACTGATTGGCATTTCATTTTACTGGTCTGTACCTTCATTATGGTTTCAAAAGTGGATCAACTGTTTCGGTATTTGATAATTTTTTTTCTATTAAATTCAGCAATGGTCTTGGTGTTCTTAGGTCTGACCCAAATAAATACTGATAGTTTTTGCATGTTTTAAATCACATAATTTATGAAATATGGACTTTCCAGGCCATTCCCTTTGGGCTGTACATTACTTCTCTCTGAGAAAGAAACACTTATATTTCATTTTACTAAGAACCCATGTTGGTATTGATCGAGTATGTCCCATATGTAGATCTCCTTGGTTACCTGAGAGAGAGCCGTGGACTCAATGACACTTATTACAACGATCCAGACATCAAACCACAAACAAGTCTGATGCCACAGCAGCTGATGAAATTTGCTTGGCAAATAGCTGATGGAATGAGTTACTTGTCAACGAGATCTGTAAGTTAGATTCCTTAATAATTGCCATGGTATAACGCTGTTTCTTTCCTTCNCCGTGAAAATGTTAAAAGGTGTGATTTATTGGTTGTGACTAGAATGGATACCTTAAAATCAGGTTGGACACCTTATGTTTATTACACAACGCTTTACTCTATCCCACGCTATACTATATTTATTCGAATTTATTGGGGACATTTTTTAGAAAGGTGGGAAAATCAGAGTAGGAGACTCATGTGCAAGGAAAATGGTTGAATACAGCGTTTAGCACCGAAGTACATTGATTAGGGCTCAGTACTGTTTTAAAAACGGTTAGCTTTCAATGATGTTTTGATCAATGCCATGTAAAGTACGTTAAAATTAACCGGTGTCTGCAGTTAGGCCTTGATGGTGTAGTGGATACGGATGTGGAATATATACACTCGGGTTCAAGTCCTAAATACTACGTACTGTTTTCTTTCTTCTCTTATTTACTTCCTTAAATTATAAGAATTCTACCAAGTATTTTGATTGAAGATGACAATCTGACTTTAGGGTTTCCTTTCCAGTCACAGCCGTGATGTATTTTCTTGTAATCTTCACAAATTGTTATGTACATACGTTATGTGCGGAGCGTCCGCTCGCGCAAAGCGTGCGAAGCGGAACCTCCATTGCTATAGCAATTGGAAACCCATCTATGTGATATAAATATATACAAGAAAATTTGTTAATGACGTCACTCCGCCCACCCGCCCGCCGGTACAGACTATGTAAGTTAGGGAAGGGGAGACTCTAGTAAGAAGGGAAGGGGAGGCCTTGCGTTTGCATTGGCGTGTAGAATTGACCAGTTTAAAGTCAACAAGTAGATCTACCCAAGTAAATTAAACGGGTACGATTTACAACAGATTTCTTATTACCTCAAAATCCGCCTGTCTTTCAGCGAACGCGCCCGAGTCGGACAGGAAAGACTTGTTATCAGAGCTTGAAGTGATGAAGACATTGAACCCTCATCCAAACGTCATCAAACTTCTGGGGTGCATAACTGAATCTGGTAAATTACCCAAAATATACTGATTGGCATTTCATTTTACTGGTCTGTACCTTCATTATGGTTTCAAAAGTGGATCAACTGTTTCGGTATTTGATAATTTTTTTTCTATTAAATTCAGCAATGGTCTTGGTGTTCTTAGGTCTGACCCAAATAAATACTGATAGTTTTTGCATGTTTTAAATCACATAATTTATGAAATATGGACTTTCCAGGCCATTCCCTTTGGGCTGTACATTACTTCTCTCTGAGAAAGAAACACTTATATTTCATTTTACTAAGAACCCATGTTGGTATTGATCGAGTATGTCCCATATGTAGATCTCCTTGGTTACCTGAGAGAGAGCCGTGGACTCAATGACACTTATTACAACGATCCAGACATCAAACCACAAACAAGTCTGATGCCACAGCAGCTGATGAAATTTGCTTGGCAAATAGCTGATGGAATGAGTTACTTGTCAACGAGATCTGTAAGTTAGATTCCTTAATAATTGCCATGGTATAACGCTGTTTCTTTCCTTCTGAAGTACGTAAAAGTGATGTAAGGGGTGACCTAGCGTTCTTAGCCAAGCCTAAGAGCGAAGCTACTTCTCAGAAAACTAACCGTTACACGCGCGGTGGGCTTCCTAAAGCCTGGTTTTCACTCAAGCATAAGCATAAGCGCAAGAAAAACGGACAAGTTCGTTCTTCTTGTGCGTGTGCTTATGATTATATCGTAGCTTTCACTAGTGAAAACGGGGTCGACATAAGCACAAGCATAAACACAAGGACGTGGACCAATCATAGGCCACTTTGACCCAGACCTCATGCGAACATATCATGCGAACATATCAAAAGCAATATGGCGGACGAGGCGTCCAACATTACAAACAGTTTAAAGCACCATAATGGTTGACCGAAAAGAGTCTAGATTAACTAGTACAACCACCAACCTCGTAAAAAACTAAATACAGTGTGTTCTTCTATATGTTATCGTGACCTTGCCGCTCGTAACGTTCTGGTGGGACAAAATGAAACTTGCAAAGTGACAGTCTTTGGAAATTCGAATGGCCAGGGATGTCCTGGAAGAAAATATTTATGAAAGAAAGACAAAGGTAATGACAGCAGACAATGAAATAAATAAAAGTTTAATTAAAGGGCGTAAGAACGGGCAAAAAAACGTGCAACTTTCTGGCAACATTGCTGCAGAACAAGTTGAATAGCGATGTTGTGCGTTTTACCACCCAAGTCAAAACCTTTCTTGCAACAAATCAGGTTGTGAACAGGCTTGCTGAGGGTGGTAAAACGCGCAACATCGCTATTCAACTTGTTCTCATGCAGCAATGTCGAAAGACAGGTTGCACGTTTTTTGTTGCCAAATGCTTCATCTGGCTAGTGATTCTTATTCATTCTAGGGCCGTTTGCCAGTGAAATGGACCGCATATGAAGCGCTGTTGTATGGAAAATATACCACAAAGAGCGACGTGTAAGTAGGCAGACATGGAGATTATTAAATAGGTCTTTTGCAATAGTTACGTGATCAACTTTCTGTATACATGAAACTGATTCGCTACGGAGAAAATAATAATGTAGACAGGAACTAAATGAGCTTATCAAAATTAGGTAACCGTAGACCTCTAAAGTAGTTATTGTCACAGCGGCGAAAATTAGAACGATTTGAATGCTTGGGAAAAACAACTTGCCACCCAGTCACAGAGTTTAAATTTTCTGTTATGAGCAGAAGAACATTTTGCTTTCATAATGCGTAATTGGAATATTTTATAACAATCTGAAAATTTGAAAATTTTCAAGGACTTGTATGGAAAACCAATAAACTGTGTCTGAGCGGCAAGAGTTGTCTTTTTCCTTACAAATCCTTCTTAGTTTCGGCGGCCAGTGCAATCGCTGTTATTGAGGTACACCGCTGAAACCTGACAGGTTACCGAATTCTAATTTGCTCTTTCAGTTCCTGCTAACATTATTTCTTCAAAGCTAACTGTTTAATTTTTTACCGAAATTTGATCATGTGACCAACAATTGCAAAATACCCGTTGAGTCATGAAGGTTTAAAGATAAGCATATAAGAAATAAAAACAAATAGTGGAACAAATAGTGGAGATCAGAAACAGATGTTGATAGCGGGGCTCCCACGCGCGCGAAGCGCGCGTGGGACAGAGCCCCATACCCATAGATTATGGTCAACCTCTTTTCCTTTGGTTGTCACGTGATTGACCGAGCGTACGTACGTACGTACGTACGCGTCTACGGATTGTACGGGTGGGGTAGGGGAGACTATCAAAAGGAAGGGAGGGGTGTCTCAGGCGTGTCTTGCCAAGTCCACATCTTTTACATTGGACATTCACAATATGGTCAATTGACACCTGTCAAAACAGGATAGCCACTGACCAGTATCCCATGACCATATCGCGGGCTCAACTCATTGAGGTGACGTGATTTATTTGGAAGCTGTCCGCTGACCAGTTAATTACTTTACTAGATTGCGATCAATGCTCAGTCTCATACTTTCTAGCTAGTTTGGGATCGGAGCACAGGAAAACTGATACACGTCAATGTTGTGATCCATTGACAGCTGTCAAAACAAGGTATCCGCTGACCAGTATCACTTGACTATATCGCGGGCTCAGGTGTCGACCCATCGAGGTCAAGTGTTTTTTTGAAGTTATCCGCTGACAAGGTACTGGTTTTCAAATGATCGCAGGCTCAAGTTTAATTTTTTTTAAA